AATATTCAGTTAAGTAACTTTTTCCATCAGAGGTTTAGTAATACTATAAAATTGTGACTAAGAAGGAGGTTAACCATCATAACAGAATACTAGTGGGATAGCAAATGTGATCTGAACTTCCTTTTTACAGTTTTGTCAGGATTCAATTGTGTACATCCAAATGATACTGATTACTATCTGTTTCTGAAAATGTTTAGCACTTTTGTATTACAGGATATATTTTCTTATCTTTTTTTTTTAATTTTTCATACTTGAGCATTTCATAAAATTTGTTTTTATCTTCTAGACCTCTAAATCTTCATCAAAACGAGTAAAAAAATCTAAGGTAAGAAATTATGTATTAAACTGGCATAAACAGAAATAAATTATAAATAGGTATTGAAATTTGTATTTTAAAACCTTTTTAAAGTTTATGTAGTATGAGACTTTTACTTAAGTTTTAGTTTAAAATACTGCTTATAACCATAGATATACTAAAAACATGATACTTTTCAGCAGAAAAAATCCTATTTGTCAACAGGTTTTACCCTGGAGATACAGAAATATAAATTGTGATGTATTTAAAGCATTTGGTTTGAAATGTTGTTTTTCTCTTTGTTAGAGTAGTTGAGGTGTCAAAAATTCATTTGTTAGGTATTTAGTGGATTAAACTTAATTTAGGATATTAGAAAATGAAATAAGATATTACAGGTTTCATCGCTGATCTAGTCAAAATTATAAAAATTTTGTATGAAATCACTTGAAACTTAATTCCCTTTAATTTTTACAAATTGATTTGTAAAAACTCTTAACTGTTAATATATATTAATTTTAAAAAGAGTTTCAGCAATGTTATTTAAACTAATTTAAGAATATCATAGCAAGAATCAGTTAATCTCAGTGTGATGTGGCTGTTATTTTTTGTAATGTAATTGTGGTAAAGGGTGATTTGTGTAATTAAACTTCAGTATGGATGAATTACAGGGTAGACTTGTGATTTAATATTCTTGAGTTGAAATTGTACTGGTGGTAGCTTTATAGAAGGAACTCTGTGTTGCAAAGTAAGACTGTCCTTGCACATCCTTCCTTTAAAAAAGGAATAACTTAAAGCCATCCTTTGTATTTCATGGAACTATTGGTTGCTCTCCTAAACTTGTGAAATGTTGGCCTCCATTAATGCAGATAGCACCTCATTCCATAAGCTAGTCACTCTGTTAGAAAATTAAAACTTCTTAACTGGAGCCTAACTTTTTTTTTTCATTTTTCAAATCTTGAACATGTGTTTGCCTGTTCTGTTGTCTTCAGAATATAGCACAAAGAAATGTAGGGCATTTATTCTATCAACCTTTGGATAGTCTTGTATACTTCAGTAACATCACTTTTTTTCATTACCCTTTGTTTCTCAAGAGAAACAAGTTGAGACCTAAACCAATCCCTTGAATAATCCTAGTACCCCACCTGTGAACCCTTTGCAATAAGTCATTGTCCTTTGTTGAATACAGCCTTAGACCAAGACTTTAAGCAATATTCCCATTTTATGTAGAAGTAATTACTTCTTTTGACTTGTAATCACTGTCTCTATGCTATATGACTATTAGCTTTTGTACTTGAAAAGAGGACTGCCGCAGTGACTTATTTATCACTATATTAAGATTCTTTACTTCAGTTTATGCTGTTGAGTAAGTTCCCATTTTCAGTACACATATGATATAAACTTTCTGTAATTGAAGGTCGTTTTGCAGATATTTGTCCAGCTAACCAATTGATCCAAGTCTTTATGTAATCCTTCAACATCTTGAATACAGTTAGAAATACCTGTGATTTAAAAAAAAGAATTCATCTAGCTTTCAAATATGCATTTTAGAATACAAGAAATATATCAGTTACTAGGTTAGAATGCCTCAAAATTACTAAAATTATTCCAGCTTTCCAAGTAAGCTATAAATAGGTTAAAAATTTCCTTTAGCACTTGGAGCAGGAAAATATGATCATTATAAACAACAAAATTCTGCAGACTATTTGTTTATGTTGGGAAAACTAAACAATGAATTGAAAGACTTGTGTGCAAGAGACCCTACTCTTTCTGTGGTTATAAACATGGTCATCAGTTGTGTATAATTCATTAGCAAATGAGAGAGAGAGAAAGAGTGGAGGGGTTTATCTGTTGGGTTTGACAAATTTATTGATATTTCAGCAAATCAAGGAGAAAGGAGGTTCAAATTTGATAATCTTGTAATTATGTATAGTTTGTGTTTCTAATTGGTTGTAAACTGCATTAACTTATTTTGGATGTTAAAATTCTGAAAGTGAGAAAGCTGGAGCTGAAATGCATCATGTGACACAGGAAATGAAGTTTGAGTAATTTAAGTATTTCTTATTGAAATTAAGAAGTTAAAACTTAGTTAATATACAGAGTTGAACGCAAAGTTTATATGCCAAGTTTATTGACATACATTGATGATAAAGTTATTTAATTATATTTTGAATGTATCTGTGAAAGGCCATGACATGTGCAAGAGAGCCAGACCTAGATGCAAAGAGTTAACAACAGTCTCTTAGTATTTCCAATCCAACAACCCTATAGTTCAGTCATATAGTTTTTTCTTATAACATTAAAAAATTGATGTACGATTTGGCTGTTATGTATAGCAAAACTGTGGTGGTGTTTTATGTTGTGCAGTTGTATTAATGTTTTGTGTTATAGAATTGTAATGCTGTTTTATATCATGGAACTAGAGTGGTGTTTTATATAGCAATCTATTTTTTAAGTATTTAGTAAAACTGTGATATTTTTATAGTGTAATTATGATTGTTTTATATATTAACCCTTTGGATGCTATAATTGGATTTATCTGACTTGACTTTATAGCTGTTTGGTGCGACAAGTAGATTTACCCCACGGTGAAACAAAAACTTTTTCTCATAGTTCAACAGTTAGGATAGTCACACGTCCTTGAATTTCTTGCTTTAGCACTGCGTGTGCATGCATCACTGTGCAATAGTGCAACTAGTGGATTTTGATATTGAAAAATTACTGAGAATGCCAAATTCTAAATTTCATTTATTAGTGTATAACTGATGCTTTTTGAAAACCCATCCAAAATTTAATTATGCACTCAAAGGGTTGACTGTGGTTTGGCACCTCGTATATATGACTGTTTTTCTTTAATGAGACTGATGTGGTAGTAAAGTGTGCATGGACAATGGTGCAGTTTTATGATACAGTGAAACTGATTTTTTTGTATGATGGAGTATGATTGTGTACTGGAACTGGTAGTTGTATAATAGTACTGCATGTACTTAAAGTGGATTTAAACATAATTATTTTGTGTACTAGAGCTGTCATGTTTATGTTTTGTATGTTAGAAAGATGAAAAGGTGTGTGGTGTTTTTGTAAAGTACCACTGTGGTTTATTTGATGATTATGTTGTTGAACTGTGGTGTGTTTGTTTAGTGCATAGTAAAAGTTTAGTTTTGTGAATTTGAATTTTGTATAATATAAAATGAAATTGTTTTACTTTCTAAAGCATTTGTTTGATGTGGTGAGCAATGCTTTCACTTCACTTTATGCTATTATAATGGAACTGTGAGATAACTACATTTCCTAAGCTTGTCACGTAGCTCAATAAATTTGTATTCCATATATGATGGTAAATGGAGATCTAACTAACATGATTTTTTTTTGCTAATGAGGTTAATTTTTAAGAACACCAGATTAAGGATTTTTTATTTTTTACAGAAAAATCAGTCTTCACATACTAAAAACATTGGTCGATGGAAACCTACTGATGATCTAGCATTAATCTTGGCTGTTCAACAGGTTTAGTGCTTTTGTTATTCTTACCTTTACTTATATGTTTATTTATTTATGTTGTTTGTTGTGAGTTTGTTGGTGCAAAGCAACGATACTATTGGTGCCAAACATCTGGTTATAATAGTCAACAAGAAGTATTAAAAATGAAAGTAAAAGATATTAAAAAGAAAAAAAAGAAAACATACTAAAACTTACACTTTTTGTTGCAAACAGAGGTAGAATTTGAATAGAATTAGATAAGCCAATAGCCTTTAAAAGCTATAAACATGATCAATCAGGTTAGTGTCACTGGTGCCAATGGCAATGTCCAACTTCAGAAGCAAACCTCGAGATAAAACATCTAAAATGACTTATATATAGAGATAATAAAAACAATTTCATTTGCAGCCTTTCTCAGTCTACTATTATATAGAAAAAGCCTGGCTCTCGTATTGATTTTTTGTGTGATTCAACTTTTCATTGCAACTTTGCCATTTCTGAATGATATTTTCAATATGACTTTAGGATCTCACTTATCGATTCTTTTCATGTTTTCATGACAAGAATAAGGTTAGTCTAAAAGCATCTTTGTCACCATTATGGACATGAAATATGGATAGACATTTGGCTTAGAAACTATAGGTCCTTCTAATAAGTTTCAATTTCAAACTTCAACAAGGAAACTATGGTTGACTAAACACTACTATTAAGAGTAGACCTAGGACTGGTTAGCCTCAAATACAAATAACTTTCCTATTGTGTTGAATTTGTCAGCAAGTTCTTCATCGGCCGTCTTCCTGCTATTTTTATTGCTGTAAGCTGGCTCATCAGTTTACCATGGGTAATTCTTCTGTTGATAGTTTTCAATGAATGTGGCTACACCAGTTCCATTTTGTGAACACTTTCCCTTGCCTTGTGCTCACCATTTTTAAGTTGAAGTAGAAATTATACTCAGTGCCACATTGGAGAAATGGTATTAGTTCCTTGATTGAAACAAAAATAGCTCATTGGAAAAGTCATTCCGAATAGAATCGAGCTATATTTTGTGTCACTTGAAAATTATTTCTGGAGTTACTTACCTGGTCTCATTCAGCAACCTGTGAAAATGATTTAAAGTTTTGTCAAATTGCATGAAAAATTGACACACGAGACCCAGGATTAATGAAGATACAATTCCAGCATTCTTTCTTTCTTTTTCTTTTTTTTTAGTGTTTTATGAGCATTTTAACTTTTATTTATAATAAAACAACAAATATCACTCTGAACTCACCATCACACAAGTAAATGAAATATTTTTGTGATTAGTATTTTATAAATAGCTACCAATACATAATAATCAAAATAATTGTATTTCTCTCAACACATTCTGCCACTTTAGTACAAGAATGTTGAGAGGCTTTGAGTTTCATTGTTGACCAACTAATATAGTTTTAACAGTAAGGTAAATGTCATTTTCAGTTTCTTTTTATAGTATTGGTTTTATTTTTCAAGCAAACAACTTGCAGACAGATTGAAGTAAACAATGCTTTAATATTAACATTTTTTGTTTTCCCTTTTGTATTTTTCTTGTGATTATCAGACAAATGACTTGACAGTTGTTTATAAAGGCGTGAAGTTTTCCTGCAAGTTTACTCTCCAGGATATCCAAGAAAGGTGGTATGCTCTTCTGTATGACCCCGTAATCTCAAAGTAAGTATGTGTTTTGGATTTGAGTTATCTTGTTGCTCAAAGAGGGTAACAACATCAGTTAATGATTTTGGTATCCTGAAGCTATAATACACTGTTAGAAATAATTTTATAATTTTTGCTCTGATAAACATTTTACGTATTTGTATGTTATTTGAGAATTTTTATATATAGGTAAAACTATTTATAACCATTTTTAAGAAGAGTATTACAGTATATGTGTGTTTATGTATGAATATGAATTTATTCGTTGTGTTAGGTTTAAAAATTGTTAGAACTGACAGGAGTGATAAGGTAAAGAAAACAGCATGCAGAAAGCTTAATGTTTTTGTTACTGTTCTTAAGAGGTGTTCTTACAGATTTTTGTATCTATTCACAGTCACAAAAGTATAATCATACATCAGGTAACAGTCTGTTGTCAAGATCATTTGTAATAAATTCACAAAAATAAACTTAAATATTTTTGATATACACAGTTACAGTTTTGTTAATGGAAAGTAGTATCCCTTCAACAAAGCACATTTACGTTTGCTCACAAAAATATGATCCATGTGTGATAGTATTTAATTTAATAGGTTTGTTTAAATTTTTTATTGAACTTTACAATGATGTGTTAAATTTCTTTTTTTAGAACGTGTCTTATATGTTTACGTAACCTACTTATGAAGAAGATGAGTAACTGTTCTGCAATAAATAGAATGATTGCATTGATCATGCCAGTTTTCTTGAATATGTTGTACAATATAAAGAGTATGTAAAAAATTAAAAATAAACAACCAGTTTGAGTTTCCTTTTAGAGTTGCAGTGACTGCCATGCGACAGCTTCATCCTGACATTGTAGCCCAAGTACAAGCCAAATCGCTTTTTAACAAGGATGAGGAGAAATTGTTGACAACAATAAATTCTGTAAGTACATTTTTTTTCTAGTGTAATTTTCTTTATACATAAAATAGAAACTTTTACTATAAATAATGTGTATGTAGAGTTTGGTATTTATATTACTGTTTTTTTTACAAGGTGAATGAATCATTATGCAAAGGTAATATTATGTGTCAGTGACCAGGTAATATTTTGTAAAGACTTGCTTGCTAATAAGACACTTATAAGCTTAAATCTTTCACTGCTACTTTTGTAGATAAGCAAATCTTCCAATACCAGGTTTTTTGATATACACAATAAAAACAAAAAAAGACGTGTGTTTTAATATTTCATTAGGTAACTGAACTTCAAAACTGTTAAAACTTTTGGAGGTTTGAAGAGGAATACCCTTTCTTCATGGTGGTACAAAATTACAAATTTCTCTGGCAGTGCTCTAAAGGAAGATGTATACATGTCCATGGCAGTAAAAGATTTAAAGCTGAGATGTGAAAAGCAAGTTTAGTATTTCATATGAATGTTGATTTTTGACCAGTTACAAAAGCTATGCATAATTTCATAAGCTTTAATTCATATTTTTTTCTTTGTACTTATTAACTATCCAGAGATCGAAATTTATTGTCTGCAGCTGCAAACATTTAGTAAAATAATTAGGAAAGAAGTACTTACAATCAATAACTGGAAAGATTTAAGAGAAGCTAAATAATTATTTCATAAGCCCTGGGCTCCTATGGATCCAAGAAAAGTATAGGAGTCATAATTTTACTTTCCAGGCTAAAAAGACCCTTAAAATTTGTTTCACTACTATAAAATGAGGAAAATCTGGGGGAAATAATTTGTGGTAGCTACTAACTAATAACAGACGAATAAGAAATGGTTTTTCAAACATTTATTCACCTCATCAAATCACTATTAAATGAGGTTGAATTGGCGAGTAAGCACGTAGAAAATTGGTTCGTTTTTGAAAAAACAAACTTAATAATTTAATAGTTAATACAAATACAAAGTGGCATTATTTTTCAAATTCTGTTCAGATTCAACATTTTTATGACCTGATTTGAGTGAATTAGTCATTGTATGTTATAATCCATATAATATTTTTTCTCGGAATAGTCAGTAGTTGTTTTCATTAAATATTGGTTGTTTATTTTTCTTTTTACTGTATTTAATTTGATGTATAGAAAATGCTTTTGTAGATTTTATTCTCTTCCTTTTTGCAAGAGTAAATAAAACTTAAAACAAGGAAATGTGTATTGAACAATAGTGAATCATTTCTTGAGTTTATTGGATAAAGCCCCAATAATTGACACTTTTCTTGAACTCTTAAGTGCTGATATCATCCATCATCTGACTAGGTCTTGCAACTCTTCAACTTGTTAATATAAAGACCTTTCCAGCAACATTAGTTGGTAATCAGTTAATGTCTGGTAGGTTTGAACCTTTGATTGGTAGCTAACTTTCCGTACCAGTCATTCTGATGGTTAATTTTTATTTTTTTAAGCTATAGGAAAACTGCAATTATTTATTTTTCAATACAAATTACATTCTTAAGCAAACATTAATTATTTTAACCTTTAAAGTGCTATGAACTGTTAGTTTACCATCACTAGCTAAACTCCGTCCTTAAAGTTTTCTTAAGCTACTATTGTTTCCCAAAAGGGGGCCTAAGGCCACCTAAAGGGGTCACTTGTTTTAACCACTTGCATCACTGTACAGTAGTGTGTTGTCTGTCAGCCAGTCAGTAGACACTAAAATGATGTCACGTTTGGAGCATTCAGTTATTATATTTTAAAGGATGAAAATTACTGTAATTACTTTACACACAAATTTAAAACACCAAACAGAAAATGATGTAATATAACATATTTATTTCAAAACAGAAAAAGCTCATCCATGTATTATTTACTTCTTATGCTCCAAAATCACACTTACTTATTTGTATGAATATTGTTTTTGTTTAAAAAAAAACATTATAACCTTTCAGATTAAAAAAAATGGTACATGCTTTATAAGTTTTCATTGTGAGAAACTAAGAAAATCTATTGAACAAAATATACCACACATTTCTGTCTTGTATTATTATACTATTTATTAAACCTATTGAACATACAAATTTACTTTAGCTGTAACTATAATTTAGATTCAGTTTAACTACTTAAAAAAAATTAAATTGATGTTTAGGAAATGAACAGTTTCACCCTGAAGATGAAATGTCAAATGCAGAAAGAAGTGATAATGTGTGTTATGTGATTTTATGATTTTAAGTTGAAATTATTAAAACTTGTTTAATATTTCTGATCTGGGTTTATTTCTCTATAGACAAGTCAACCAACAGTAGAAACTTTCCAGGAGTTACTAGACCAACACCCAGATGTCTTCCTTGCATCTCGAACAGCCAAAGCTTTATTTACACATTGGTCATATATGAAGCAATACCACCTTTTACCTGACCAGACGGGTAAGCATTGTCTCATATATCATATGTAAATATGTGTTATGAAAGATCACAATAAGCTTGCCTGTAATATGTTTCATCTGAAATTCTAAACTGCAGATTTTCAACATTTTCACTAAACTTTCACTGTTGTAGGTTGTTGCTGACTATCTTTCATTATGTCAGTGAGGTCACTGTACCAGTAAAAACCATATAGATTAAGTATATTTTTTTACACTGTTAAAGGCTTAGCTAAAAATGATAGATGTACCTTGTTTGGCTTTGTTATTAAAAAAAAATCCCCAAAAAAATCAAATTGTAATAATCCTCATAATTTTAAGTAATGTCTAGTTATTTGTATTTGGCATTACTAATAAAAAAACAACAACCTCCAAGATGAAGGCTGTTCCATAAAATCAGACAGACTTTTTAGGTTGGCTTATTTAAATAGTTGGTATCAATTAAATAAGAAACAAACAAGACATGATGTACTTTTAGATGATAAAGTTTGTTTAAATTTACAGTATTTTTTTTTAACTAAGTTTCTTTTCTTTTTTTCAAAATATTATTTTTAGTATATGATAGGTAAGTGACTGAATTTATTCAACTAACAATCAATGGAGTTTAAGGTAATATTTATATCTCATGAAAGAAAAAAAAAGCCTTTAACTGCTTGTGTGGTTTTAAAATTAATATTTGCCTTTAATTGGAATAATAGTATATATAATAGTGAAATGAGGTGAAATATGCTTGTTAAATAATCATGAAGAATATTGCATTACAGTACAACCTCTACCCCGTGGAGAACATGTACTGAACTTTTCTGATGCCGAAGATATGTTAGATGACAGTGAACTTCAGTAAGTTGACTTTTCATCATTTTATAATTATTGTAATTTAAGGTACTTTTTAGTTTCATAGTTGTTTTCATACTGTTATTGTATTATCTTTGTTGGTCGTCTTTGTGCGATGAGTAGCTCATGTAAATATAGTTTTTGTTATGGTGAAAATCATTCATCTCTCTGTGCTACTGATATTTATTGTATATTATAATTGTTGTTTTTATAATGCAATTATGTTATTTTATGGCAAGCAACATGTGTCTTTCTATTTTTCTTATATTGTGTTATTTGATGGTAAACATTGGTTGTTTTAGGGACCTGTTCATAGTTATGGATGTTAGAGCTACTGCCATCATTTTATTGTATTATCTGTTAGTGCTCAGTGGTCACTTCTGTCCTTTCAGTTGTTTTTGTATGTTATAGCTGTTATCAGATAATATTTTTTGTTATCTTAGTGACCATTGGGCACCTGTTTTTCCTACTGTGTGTTTTTTGTATTGTACAGTCGTCATAATACAGTATATTTGTATTATCTTATAGTAATAACCAGTCACCTCTTTATCCTAGTAGTGTTTTCCATATTTTATAGTTGTTATCATACTGTATTTTTCCCCCAGTGGCACAGCAGTATGTCTGCAGACTAACAACACAAGAAACTGGGTTTCAATACCCGTGGTTGGCAGAGCACAGAGACCCATTATGCAGCTTTATGCTTACCTACAAACATACTGTATTTTTCTATTATTTTATAGTGAGCATCAGTCATCTCTTTGCTTTTGTGGTTATTCTTGTTCTTTATAATTATGGGCTGATGATTAGCACATCTGGGTTATAAATTTGATTCCTGACCAATTGTTCCATACTTTGGTGGCAGGCAGGTGATGTTGACTTACTGCCTTCTCTCTAGTGTATGAGTTAAGAATTAGAGATTGCTATGAGCAAATAGCCCATGTGTAGCTTTTTGCAAAATTCTGAAACAAACAAACAAATTAAGTTATCATCTGGGTTTGATTTGAATATTTTCCTCAGTAGTATTATTTGATTTATAAAATGTTTTTGGCTGCAAGGAAAAGTCCCTCACTAATAAGTAACAAAAACTTAAAATAATTTACCCAAGCAGCAAAGGAAAGATGAAGTTTGAAGCATTTGAATACGAAATTCTTGATTTAGTTCATGCACTTGACATAGCAAGTATTAATACCAGTTTGTAGTCTCAAAAATATAAGTTAATAAGAAAAATGTTGCTGCTAACTATGTTTCAGATTAAAATTATATTTTAAAGGCCAATAGTTTGACACTACAAGAACCAATAAAAGTAACCATTGATACAGAATGACGTAAATATTTTTTAATATACATTATTACTCCTGAGTTTTTTTCCACTTGTAAACAACAAAGTTGAAATGAACTGGCTTAAGGGTTACTATATGTTTAAGTTATGCACAGTTTGAAACATTTTTATAATGAAAGTAACAATTTAGGAATGTTTTAATATGGATTGTCACAGAGAAAGTATTTTAACATCATAGAAGGTTTATATTTGTTAGCTCAACAAGAACCCTATTTTGTGTATCTAGAAATTGTGGTAATGTAAGTTAATTTTTTATTTAAACATACAAGGAATCTTGTTATTTTTAGTTGTTGTTAAGTGTTTAAATAAAACTCAATAGCCAGTCTTTTATATCACACATTTTATTTAAATAGCCTGTTTACAATCTGAGAATGTGACTAACATCACAAAACTTTTCAAGTTCACCTGTTTTTTGTTTTTGGGTGGTCAGTCATTGGAGTGTAACCTAACAAATTGGTTTATTTTGACAAGAATATACTAAAGTTTTATAGTTTTCATTCTATGAAAAAAAACCAAAACAGAAGTAAATAAATTATTCAAATAAAAAAATCTGATTTATAATGAGAATTAGAAAGGCCAAGAGAAGGTTATATTGATTACTTATACATTACATTTATGTATCAAGCACACGTGAAAACATCATTTAATAAAGGAAATTTTTTTTTATTTAGGGGTTAATTATTTCCACTTCATGTAGATACATACATGTTAGCCTGAATGTCTTTTTCAGTATTTTCTAATTAACATTTTGTTTCTTCAGAATTGAAGTAAATAATTTTTTATTTTCTTCTTCAGTTTGAATCAATAAAATAATGTCTTCTTTCAAAATAGCATAAAACTATTTTCTAAGTTCACTGCATTTTTTTTATGTTATTTTTTATTTTGAATGGCGGTCATGATTTGTAGTTTTGTAGGATTTTCATGCCAACAAGCATGTGCATTGCTTTTCCTGCATATTTACAAATTCAGCAGTGCCAAAATCCCTTGGTATGATGCAAATATACTAAATGAAATCATCATGATTCAAAACTTTGTGAAATAATTTTTAGCTATTCATTCTACAATTTTTGATTGACCTTTCGTTTCTGGCCAGATTTTGACTTCAGAAAGTTTTACACTTAACCAAATTTCTAAAGACATTCTGACCAAAAGAAGAATACCATTATGGGCAGCAATATTTAAGTTTGATTTGATTGTAGTTACATTTGTAAATTAATGAGTAAGGCAAGTTAAAACGATACCACATTATTGTTACATACCTTGTGTAATTAAAAACTACCTCCCATGACAAACAATCCAATCAAACATCCAAAATTTGTAGCTGCTAAATACATGACACCTTTCTCAGTCATTGTTAACACTTTCCATAACCCACTGATAATAATTAATCCAATTATGTTTATCAGTACAACATAAAGTCAACTGTTTTTCTTTGTTTTGACACAAAATTTCAATAACAAGCAATATGTGCAATTGATATTGACATACTCTCTGTGGAGAGATTGGAATGAGTTTGTAATGTTCAGAGTTGGGAATTAAGTGTGTGATGATACTGTTTGTTGTATTTGGCATGGCAGGTGACTAACTGAGCTGTAAAATGAAGGTAACTCAAATTTTGCCAGGGGAGACGAGGGAATAAAAAGCAAAGTTTATAGGCGCTTCACCTGGTTATGTAACCCCTGGAAATACAAACACCATTTTTAATGTTGGAAAATAATTTGATAATAATATTAATTAATTTATACTATTCAATGTGATTGTTTTAGCCAATTCTACTATATCAGTTATGGATATACATCATCACAAGAAAAATTTATGTACTTGGAATGTTTGTTAGCTTTAGATCCTGTGAGATGATGAATATTGAATAAACATCAACGAAATGAGTAATGAACAAATGCTATTTCTTTTTTTAGTTGTTTGACAATATTAACAAAATATAAATTTTGTTGCTATTATACAAAACTTCAAGTTACCATAATTTGTTTTGCTTTTATTTTTCAGAGATGAAAGAGATGAGGCACTTGAGCAAGGTATTTACATAAACTTATCACAACTTGAATATTGTTATAAAATGCTTTTAGCTGCATATTATCTATAGGATGCATTTAACTGTTAATGTTTCCATGGATGTCAACAAAATGGTAATTTGTTTAAACTTTTTACAATAATGTTGTGATTTTTTAAGTACTCAGTAAAATACTATCATGAGTGTGAGCAAATTTCAGGTGTTAAGTGAAAATATTTCTAACTATATTTCAATAATTTCCAACTCACTTATTTTAGAATTAATATTTTGTCATTTTTTTAATATATATATATATATTTAATGTAACTTGCAAATGAAAATTTAAGGAATCTTGTATGTAAACAACTCATCCCCTTTTTTTAAAAGCATTTTCCTTCCTATTCCAAAATACAGACTTAAATTTGCTAATAAACTTTCAAAATATTAATAATAAATTAAATGTAAACATTTTACAGTCAACTGGCAGTTTAATTACCTTTTAGCTCTACACCTAATTATATATTCAGTCCTGTTTCAAGACAGTTGCTTGTTTGATCTTTTATGCAAGTATTGCTAAGTAAAAAAAATAATCTAAACATTGTACATAAATAAAAATTTATCCTAATTTATAATGTATATGTTTTCTGTAAAATTAGAACTTGCCCTGTCTGACAGAAGAATCAAGCGAGAAATCCGACAGCTAGAGAATGAACTGCCCAAGTGGCAGGTGTTAGTCGATAGTATCACGGGTAAGTTTAATATAACTTCTAACCAGCTTGAGAATGAACTGAAAGGCAAATGTTAGTTACAAGCGTCTTAGTTAAATTTGTCGTGGTAACTTTCAAACAGTTGGAGAATGAATTAAGTGGCACGTATTAGTGATTGTATCAGATGTTTCTCCCAAATGTTTCCAACAGATAAAGAATGCATTGTACAAATCAAAAGTATTTGTTGATAATATCATAGGTAATTTTGTTGTGGCAACTTCCAAACAGTTGGTTAATTCTTGTTAAGATGTACATTGTTTAGAGTTACTGTTAAATCTTTACATAAGCAAGGTAACATTGGGGTTAACATGTCATCATTGAAATGTAAAATGGTATGACATAAAGATGATCTAAAACTTAATAGTAAGCTTCAGTTTTTTTTTAAGGCCAACTGAACATTAAATAGATTTTTAACAAATAGTATCAAAAGGAAAAAAAACATTCCACATGGCTTCAAGGTAATGCAATATTACTGTGAACTAAATAATTAACTGATACATGATTTACAAACTAATTAACAAACAAAATGTGAAATTGATAAAATGATGTAAATGATGAAGTTACAGCTGGAAGGAATAAAAAGTTAGACTTAACATTTTAACAATAATATACACGTGTGTGTGTCTATATATATATATACACATACATATGGTAAATATTATCAAATCGTATTACACATAAAAATTAAGTCGCTACAAATACTTATTTCAAAAAAGTTACTGAATATTCCTACTATATATTTCTCATTCATCAAGGTAGTTAATGTTTTTGTCTAGAATCTTCTCATGAACAGCACGATAATGGATTTTTAATTAGTTATGATTGTTCATCAAGCAATCAGAGGATTTTGCAGCCAAAGGCAATAAAATAAAAACATTTCAAGGTTATTATGGGAAATTGTAGATTATTTGATATAGTTTTGATAAAATCAATAACTGCTAATATAATTCAAATATTTGTAATGTTAAAGAACAAATGTTTTCTTGCTGATTCCCTGTCATAAAACATCGCTTTAAGTGCCCTTGCAATTCACACACATGCAAATTTATTTGTGCATTTGAATCACTGCACATAATATTACTTCTCCTGAAATACTGTGGTTATTAAATAAAATAATTTAACCTGGAATGAAAGATTTAAGTGATTGTTTTGTAGGATATTTGATACAATATGTGTGTGTGTTATTTTTGTTATGATAAAATATAAAATTGTTCATGTTTTTGTAGTAACAATAAATTTGTACGTCATGACTTTCAACAGTTTATGACCTAATTATATGTCAAACATGTTTCAACTGAGTTCATATTTAATGAAATTTTATAGTTCTGTGATAATTATAAAGACAAAAGAAAAAACCAGACTAAAAGAAAGAGGTTTTTTTGGTTGGTTTGATTCAGGTGTTACTCCACAGGACTTTGATACCCAGACTTTAGCTGTTCTTCGAGGTAGACTTGTTCGCTACTTGATGAGGTCACCAGAAGTAAGTTCGTTTATATATTCTCCATAAAGTTTTCTGCATTATACATTTTAAATGATGATGTTCTCAGTGAATTAAAGAAATTTTTAATTTTTATCGTACAGATAAGTTTGGGAAGAGCCTCCAAGGATAACAGTGTTGATGTTGACTTGTCCTTAGAAGGTCCAGCATGGAAGGTATCCAGAAGACAAGGAATGATCAGACTACGAAATAATGGTGAATTCTTCATAAGTAATGAAGGAAAGAGGTCTATTTTTGTAGATGGCAAACCTGTTTTATCAGGAAGCAAGTATAGATTATCAAACAACTGTGTAGTTGAGGTGAGTTTTGTGTGTGTATATCACATGAAGAAAAAGTGTTTCAGACCTAAAATGTTTTTTATCTGACCAGTATTATATTTAAATTACTCAACACATGCTTAAAAATTATTAAAAAGAACAGCAAACAAGTCATTTAGTTTTATACTTAATATAGAAAAGGAGCTAAGATGAACCACTCAATGAAATACTAAGAATATTAATAGATATCTTACATGCATTGATAATAGTAGTGGATGCTTATTTTATGAACCCATGAGTGAGGGCGAAGATGAATATGATATGTCAACCAAAGTGCAACTTGTCATATCCAGTGCTAAAAAGGCCTTTCACCCAATATCAGGGGGGCTAGGATAGGACAGTTGTAGTGGTCTAGGTGATATATATATGTGTGTTGTCTTAATTTCACATCCACATGAATTAACTCTGTTTAACTTTACAGCTGTTCAAAATTTATTCTTGCTTATGTTAATTATCTTTGTATCTCTATTGGAGACTTGTTGGCTGCAACAACATTTACCCCCACATCATTTTTAATTGGTACATTCTTTGCTGACTCATTTTTTTACAAATAATTCACTTTCAGTAAATGTTTAGTTGAACAAGTCTAGTGCTTAAGTTGTTTTTAATATACATTATTAAAGAAAACATTATTATTTAGCAGATTGTATTAAATAGCTTTCTTGTCATATGGTGTATGCAAGTAAGTCAGTTATATTAAAAAATTTGAGTTTGTAGTGTGAGAAATAAGTAAGGTGCTTACTACCCTAGAATTAAAATAAGCACTAGTTTAACAATCATTAGGCTCTAAAAAATCTTTTGTTGCTACTGGTTTTTAGCTCTCTTAATTATCAAATATTTGTCTGATCAGTAATTTCTTTTAAAATAGACAGGAATGACTGACATTATTTCATAAATGTTATGACTTATCACTAGTTAAAAAAAATTCTAATATTACAAAAATCTTTTGAGCAGTGTAGATTGCCTTTCTTGGATGTGTCAGTGTATACACTCAGCAAGGTAGTTTTTAAATTGATATATATCATAAACAGACCTTTTGCAGGTTTCACGATTCTTTAGATATTCTTATTAAGAAGTTAGGGCACAGGATCACTTACAAAAGTTGTAATGGTTTTCAAATGAGACCTAAAACTAAAGAACTTTCGAATAGTTCACTATTCTCCTTCAGGAGAATAAAGAATTGTTTCATTTGATAGTTATGTTCCTGCTACTATTAAAGTTAATTTAGCGAACAATGTTTATAATTTATGCATTTAACAGTTTCAGTGATATGTTGAGTAAATCAGTTATGCCTAAATATTAAAAACTAGCTGTAATAATATAAACATGTTTAAGACAATGGGCACTATATTTGTCTACAAGTACAAATTAGGTGTATATTTAAATCAGCTATGAATAAGTGGTTGCTTGTTCTGGTTGTTTTAAGTTTTATGATATTAAAATTTGTATTGTATATTTTTGCATAATTTATACATGTAAATACTAAAAATTATTTACTTTTTCTGAAGATTGCTGGACTGAGGTTCACTTTCCTTGTTAATCAAGATCTAGTTGATGTTATCCGTAATGAAGCTGCCAAGTCAGCAACCTGGACTAGTTCATAGATCCTATCAACTTTGAAGCTTGTACAGAGAGATAACCAAAGCACAAGTTAAATCTATTGAATCTAGTTCCAAAAAACATAATTCTACTGTGTCAAAACAAGAGTTCATCTTCATTGTAAATTTTCAAATAATCATTTCATGTACATGGTTTATCATCTTTTGTTCAAAAGCTAAGCCTAAAAATTCTACAACCATGTTTTTGCATTTATTTTGAAAGTGTCTTACTTAGAACATTGTGAAATTCTTGTTGATAGCATATGTTTGTAATAAAAATACATACATTTTACAAAAAAAATCCAAACTTTTATTTGAATAATTCATAGTTACTTCCAAGTTCATTAATGTATCAAAAATATAATTTATTTTCAGTCTTAACACGTAATACTAAAACAATACCACTACCCATTTTGCAAAAAAAATACATTAATTATCTGTAAGTTATTTAAAAGTTCATAATTTCAGATTCAGTGTCTCACTACTTCAAACTGTTATGACCACATGGTTATGTAATTTTTACAGTTGACACGGGAAATGTTTTTGGATACAAATTCAAGGACTTTTTAAAAACATCTGAAGTTTATCAATTACAGTTTAAAAAAATGTCCAAAGAAAGGCACTTTAATCTTCCTTTAAGGCTAACTGTGGCCATGAAAAATTTGTATTCTGAATAAGTGACAAAATAATTGCATTGTGATATTTTTTAACTTCACATCTGTAATAAAATGTTATTCCACTGAGTCTAAGAGAAACATCTTATCTAGCTTGCTACAACAGAATACTTAGGAAACATGTATATAAAACAGATCACTGAAGGCTTGTAAATGTACACCTTTGAAACTTTCACTACAGTAAGAACAAATATATTATGCATATTCAGTAATGTCTTCCACAAAAACTTAAGAACTAAAAATCTAAGGAAGCACCAATTTCATCAGAAAACAACATTTGTAAGATTCCATTTGGTCCATGATCACCACTATGAAATGCACTTTTGGTTTGAGTTTACAGCTAAGATGGTGAAGCAACAGGGTGCTGAAAGAAAGAGAAGTAAACTCACCAAAATAACAAATAAAAGTACATTTTTGCAACTGTATTTCAAATCTGCAGACTACCTGGAAAGCTTTATGTACAAGTATTCTTAAAATATATTTTGAAACTATACATAAACAATACCAAACGAAATATATAGTTACATTTAGCCTTGCGAGAAACAGAACGTTCAACATTGGGACACAAACTATAAGGTGGGTTATTACAAATTGTTTTGAGGTACCCCATTTATCTATTTTAACTCAGTTTTGCTGGTCTCACATGGGTAAAGAAAGAAAGCAGATGTGGTTGCTCAATCCCACAACATCTTTACTACCTTCCACTGTATGTTTCCCAATAGTAGGAAGAGGAAGGTGGTTGCTCTGTTGTTACATTTAAGTATATATATATATATATAACAAACAAAAAACAACAACAGTGCTGTACAGCATTAGGGAGACAACACAACTGTACCTGGAGTTGGCATTCCAACCCCCAATATGATGTTTGGACATAAAAACCAAAATGGTAAGGTATTATTATACTAAGTCCCATCTTTTGTTTTAGTATAGCTCTGATCCTTCCATGGATGTCCCCAGTAACTACCTTTTCAATTGTTCTAAAAAGATCCATGCAGTAGCAAGGTTTTATATAGGGAATATGATGATATAGCTGTGTTAATTCACCTATATAAGATATAAAAATGTCTAAGTAAACAATTCTAATTATTTCTTTTCTTAATGATAAAACTTAAAAATTATCTTTTATTGTACATAAAATAATTCCATTTAAGTCATCATTTTCAAATTCATGTAAGTAGTTTTTATATTTAATATATTAAGGTTTTTAGATGAAAACCATTGGAAATCAATACTTGTACTAATATATTTACATTAGATACTAAGAATTGTATATTATTGCAAATTTTACAATATCTAAGAAGTTGCAAATGTATAATACTTTGTGTAATGTGTTGGAACATTACTATTAAGGGAGGGGAGTCCATATATTTAAAATAATTTCTTTTTCAAAAATATTAATATTACTAGAATTATTAATTATCTCAATATACATATCTAAATAATGTACATTAAGTATTGGATTTTTTAAACCATAGGATAAATATTACCAGTATAATTACTAATTTCTGGATTATTAATACTGATTAGATCATCAATATATCTATATATATCAAGGAAAATAAATCTGAATTTTAAAAAATATTTATAAATGATTTTCATAATAATAACATATATATTAATGACAGTTTGAATAATTAACTCCCATCAGTATACCAACTATTTTATCAATTTATCAAAATTAATATAATTATTATATAGACAAAAACTGTTTAATACTATTAATGGTAAAGGTTCGATTTTCTACTTTTATAGGTAGATCAATTAATTTATTTATTAATTAATGAATTTACCAAAAATACCAAATCATTAAGTAGTAATTGAAAATAATGTTGGAATTGTATCTGCTAATTGTGCTTTAAGTTTTCTGGGGCTTTTTCATCATTTGTAATTATCCAAAAAATATTTTTGTATTTTAAATAACTGGTTTACTAATTTACTTAATAAAACTGCAGATTGCTTCAGTACAGTTTTTAACAATCCAAAAATAAATCGAAATTTGATAGGAGGTTTATGTAATTTAGTTATTGCGTAACAGACAGAGTAATTCTAAATATGTATTTAATTAAACAAATTTTTAGCAGCTTTAAACAGATTGCTAATAATATCCCTTTTAGGACTTATTTTACAATTTAAGAGTTTGTGGTTTTTATTTAACTGATTATAACTTTTGCATAAAAAAGTCTACAATAAAGCCAAAAATTATGATTGGCTTTACTGATAGGTACAATATACATATATATATATATATATATATATTTGTCTC